ACGCAAAGTGGAAGTACACGCACAGCGAAAGACACAATTGAGAACAGACCGAACAGACCGTCGCCAACGTCGAAAGTGAACCAGTGCTGACCTCCTGATCCGGCCACTCATCTTACGAAGAATCAAGCGCCGGTCGGCGCGCACGCGCCCCGAACACGGTGACAGATGGAAGCCGCCCCCGCAGCATTGGCGCATCCCACCCGCCACGCTGCTGCCTGAACGCCATCTCAGGATCATCGCACTTGAGCGCTTTCGCAACGTTGGCGGGGCGCAAGGCACGGTGAGATGATACGGCCCATGTAGGCCCTGCAAAGAAAAGGCGGCTGAACCTGAAGATTCAAGTTTCTCGCGCATAAAATCGGCATCGGAGTTTCGCTCGCGTGGTTTTTTCCGCGCATTCGCGCATTTTCACGGCGGCGCACGTCATGTGAGCGTGTATGCGGAATATTACGGAATAGTCTACAGAGTCTACATGTCGCCCATGAATGTATGTAATGGGGTGTACCTGGAGCTGGGGGATTCAACTAACGCCGACGAGTGTGCGTGGTATCAAGAGGCGGCGGAGCACGGTAGCATACCAAGAGGGATATGAATATAACAACTGTAGGTGGGAGGGGCTCGTTGGATGAGATGTATGTAGATGCAGGGGTCGTACAGGTAACTCGAGCAGATGAGTCGTGATCACAGAACGCAAAGCAATGACAGATACACAGAGCGGTGGGGGACCAGAGGTGACGGGCTAATCTACTTGGGGCTCTGGAGCATCGCCATGATCGCCTCGATGCCCTTCATGCCCAGGCCACCCTTCGGATAGCAGATGTAGAGCGGGTCGTGCCACGTCCCGAACTTGCTTCTGAAGTCGCCCTTGTTCGTGAGGTGGAAGGTCGAGCTCAGGCCGTTGTACGCCTTCTCCAGCGCACGGACCCTGAGGCCGCGCACGTTCTCCACCGCGTGGAACTTGCCCGTTGCGCCCGCGCCGAACGTCGCGCTCTTCACGCCTGCGTCCCCGAGCAGCTTGATGACGTGCGCGAGGATGTACTCGATCGCACCGAGCGGCGCACCCGGGAACTCGAGGGCCCACTTGATCTGGAAGCCGTGCTTGGGCGCGAGCTGCGCAAGCACGACCAATGCGCAGGGCTGTCGGACGATGGGCGTGAACTCCTCCGTACATGTCAAGGATATCGGGCATAGACTTACCACACCCTCCTTGTCCGTGGCGTAAAAGTAGCGGCGGTGTTGAATGTCGTCGAACGGTCGCACGCCCGTCAGGTGGATCTGTGTGCCCTTGCGGTTGGCGACCCAGTCCTCGCAGCGGCGCTCGATCATCTCGCGTGTGTGATTGTCCATCTCGCCGACCTCGACGACCTTGACGCCCTCGCGCTCGGCGCGGTGAATCTTTCGCCGCACCGTCTTGTCGTTCTCGGCCGGGTCGATCTCCGTGGGGTTGAGGCGCTCCTCGGCGACGGCGGTGACCGCACCCCAACCAAGCTCCTCGGCGAGGTAGCGCTCCGTCGTCCTATCCACGCAACACCACACCGGCTTGAGCTTGAGCTCCTCGAGGTGGGAGAGGTATGCCTTGATGACGCGTGGAATCTGGTCTGTGTGGCATAGGGGGTTTCCAAAAGTGACCGCGAAATTGTTTTGAGGTATGTAGCCAACCGCAGCGCCAGTAATCTTGTCGCGCCAGACGGTCCAGGCTGCGTCCACCCAGCTCGTGTTCGTAGCGTCGCCGTACTTGGCAATAAGCTACCCCATGCTTCGTCAGATACGCATTCCAAGAGGCGCAGAGGAGTACTCACGTTCTCCAAAGGCGGCAGTTCTCCCTTGCGCTTTCCGGGTTGGAACGTGGTGGACTCGGGACCATGGAGAATAAGGGAGTTGGCGGCAACCAAAGCAGCCTCCGAGGGGTCTTGCCCATGAATGACGAAACTGCGAGGATCACGGGGGAAAAGGCTTGCCCAGCGGATGTTTCCAAGCTGGAGGAAAAGCATGACAACACGCTCCAGACCAACACCTCCTCCACCGTGCTATAGGCGACCATAAGCGGGTGTGCAGTCAGATCGTGGAACGAATACCAACTTACCGGTGGGCAACCCCATCGAAAACCGTCGACGTAGTCCTTCATCTGCTCCGGGTCAATTCCGTTCTCCTTCATACGCTGTTCGAGGAACGGCGCGGAGTGGATGCGCTGACCGCCTGAGAGTATCTCCTCGCCGCGCAGGAAGAAGTCGAACGAGTTCGACCAACGCTGAGGAGACTTGAGTCAGTACGCAATCACAAGTACCAGAACCCATTGACGCACGTCGTCCCGGGCGTCGGGCATGGTGTAGAAGGGGCGAACTTCAAGCGGGAACTTGTCGATGATGTAGAAGTCCGCGCCATACTTCTCCTTGACGAGCTGACCAAGTCGCTGCTCTGCACGTGTGCTGAGGTCTTCAGTCTCGAGGAGCTGACTGCCATCCTCCCCCACCCATCCCGACTCGTTCAGCATGCGAATACCCTCGGCAAAGGTGATCCGCGGGGTCTCGTCAAGAATCACCACGTCTTCGCTAGGATAGAACTTCTTGACGGTCTCGATCTGGGACAAGGTCAAGCTAAAGGGGAAATGCCACTCGAGGATCAATGCGGCGGCGTACCTCGTGCCGAAACTGAGTCTGCAGGCCCTTGAATATGAACTTGAACAGATTATCGAGGGTGTCCATGACCTCGTGATAATGACTGTCGATGGCCATCTCCAGATCGAGGCCAGTGAACTCTGTGAGGTGTCTGTGGGTATTCGAGTTCTCCGCCCGGAACACAGGACCGATCTCGAAGACGCGCTCCATGTCAGCAGCTATGCACATCTGCTTCGCGAGCTGCGGACTTTGAGCGAGGTACGCGGGACGCCTGAAGTAGTCGACCTTGAATACGGCCGCCCCGGACTCCGTGGCAGAGCCTTGAAGTTTGGCGGAGTGGATTTCGGTGAAGCTCTGCTCCGTGAGGAAGGAGCGGAAAAGGTCGACGACGCCTGATTGTATGCGGAAGATTGAATACGAAGAAGGAGACTGGGGGACCCAATTGTTAGTCTCGCGTCGGTGCGTAATCAACACTTGCACTCACTCGCAAATCCACCACGCGGTTGTCCAGACGCGTGCGCTCGCCAACGCGCACGAAGTTGGCGTCCTCTCGCTCGTAACACTCCTTCGGCCTGGACACATCTTCAACTTGGAAAGGCAGAAGCTCCGTAGGTGCGGACAAAACATGGAGCTGGGATGTGACGTCGGTCAAGCGCAAGACTGGGATGTTCAGCAGAAAATACCTTGCGAATCTTGATCTCGAACTGGTGCACCGAGGTGCTGTGCACCTCTTGCTGATCGGCAGGCGGACGCTGAAGGGTACCCTCGACCATGACAATCGTCTCGCGAGACAGGCCCTCCGCCCAGCGGACCATGGCTGGAGACACGTGGCCCTCCTCCTCACTCAGCACGCCCTGGATGGTTGTGAACTGATGGCGGAGGATGATGAAGACGATGTGAGCACCTGCGTGGATTGGTCACGTATGGTCAAATTCAGGGAATATGTGTGGCTCACTGAGGGGGCGAATATGATGAACGCGGGCGCGGATCAGGACGGAGTCTCCTTCATTCTTGCCGATGTCGTGGATGCGATCTAGACGACGCTCTGAGTGCGATGTCAGAGTCTGCGCTACGTTGGCACGAGTGGATCATACCTGACTTCTCTTGAGACATGGTCAAGGGAAGGTCGCCCCAGTTGTCTCGGCAAGGGTCCTGCGTGTAACCGTAGCGTCAGCACGTCCGGGGTTGCGCAGAGAACGGCGAGGAGATGGCGCGGGGCCTGATGGTGCCATCCCGGCGCGGGTGGATCTGTTCCCGCGCACAGGTCCGAGACGGGGAGAGGAAGAATAGTAGGTAACTCACCTGGGCGTGAGCTTTGTTTAGGCGCGCGCGGCGTTCGCGGGCCTCTTCATGCTCCATGGCCTCGCGTTCTTGCCGGCGCTCCTGCTTCTGCTCGGTGAACGAGGGCCGGCGTTGCCTGCCTGCATGGATGGTTTGTTCGGGCACACCGTCTGCCCACTGCTGCCTCTGGGCTGCAGTGGGACCTGCGTTGGTGTCGTCGTAGGAGGCCCGCTTCTTCTCGGAGTTGCCATTCACAAACGGCTGGATGTCGCTGGAGGTGGAGGAGGAGCTCTTGGAGGGCGAGCGCGAGTGGGTGAGGAGGGTGAGGGCGCGCTTGATGGTGGCCATGGTGGTGGCCGTGCGGGGGAGGGGGCCGGGGCAGTGCAGGTGCAGGTGAAGGGAGGAGAGTGGGCAGTGAGAGCGGGCGATGTGTTTCGAGGATGGAGAGCTGCAACGGCTGCGAGCGCAGAGGCCTTTTGGATCGCGCGCGGCCGGAGGACGGGGAGCTACGTCATTCGCCGGTCTGCGACGTCATTCGCCAGCGTCCCATACCAGGCAGCCCTTCCCGGTTCGCGCCTGAAGGCCCCGGCCATTCTCCGGCCTTCGAGCACCCTCACCCACCCCCCGCCCGCAGCTCATTTCCCGACTACGCCCGACAGGCTTGAGCCAGAGCGAGCGGAACGGTGCGCGACTGCTGCTGATTCAGCCCCCTGTGTCCTGTCCCATCGTCGAGGTTATTCAGCCTGGGAACCTCACGGGTCCAAACGGTCAAACCGATTGCCACCCCGGACGCAGAAAGCAGCTTGGAGCGCTGCTCCTCAGCTCGTCAATTTGACGTCGGCGATTCAGCACCCCACTCGACTCCGGACACGGTGCATCCCGCCTTCTTCAAACGTTCGCAATCCGGCAGGCCTGTGGCAAGTTAGAGACTGTGCGCTCTGTATGAGGAGCGTCACTAAAGCACTTACTCATGTTGGTCTTCTTCTCGATGACGGTGCGAGAGGAGGGGTGGCAAGCGCCTAGTATGCACTCAGAGTAGCGCTGTTCCTAGTTTCGAGTAACGTGTTATACATCCATATAACTTTAATACCGCCACGCTCAAAGGCCCTCGTTGTCTAATGGTCATGACGTCGGACTTCTACTTAGTGCGCTCAGGCGATCCGGAGGTTGCGAGTTCGAGTCTCGCCGGGGGCTCGATTTTGATCGGTGGTCATATAATGTCCCTCGGGCGCTCATTTATGGACACTTGCGTTTGCAACATTGCACTGGTATTGACAAACGGAAATGTGTGATGGGCCGTTGTGCGGTTGTCGAATAGCACGTTCAAGGTGAAAGGAGGCGGTCGCATATACGTATATATATGTATATATCCCCCAACTGCCGGGACAGTGTGTATTTGGCTAGTGCGTATGGAGAGCCTCAACGTGTCGGGAAGCACAATTCCGAGCCTCTTCGACTCAACGTGGAGGCACAAGGACAATGTACATTGAGCGACAGAAAGCATCAGTACTTCAGTTCCCAGTGTGCGTCGAGGCGTGCAGCCACCAACCCATCAACTGCTCCCCGCCAACGTCGACGCCACAGTCACGTACGTTCGCTCCATGCGCCTCCCCGCGTCGACCACATACTACAGCACGAAGGGCTGTTCGGGACGTCCATCGCCAAAGACCCTCTTCCTCTTCTTCTCCCTCGCGCTGCGCTCACATGCCCCCGACTAGCAACGCGGCCCTGGCGGGCGTGCGACGAACACGTACGGTCAGCGCGCAACCCACGGGCTTACTCTTCGCGAACAAAGCGCCCCGTCCTACGCGGCTCTCCTGACGTCTCCCTCTGATCACGTCCCATAGTTCCTCGGCATGTCCGTGGTCCTTTCGATGACGATGCGCAAGGGGTATAGTTACATTATTGACCGTCCATCCAACGTCTCGATTAATTAATAGCCGTACGCGTATTGCGGGCTGTATCCGTATCCACTGCAAGAGGCAAGAATCATGCGATCACACAATGTGAATCATCGCGGAAAGAGTAGTAAGGGTCGCCGTACCTCCTAGAGTACCCGACTGCAGGGTACCCTCCTCCGTACCCGCCGCCTCCATAGCCGCCGCCTCCGTAGCCGTACCCTCCACCGCTGTGGATGACTTCGACGCTCGCGTGCCGGCGCGGATGGTGGTGGTGGGGATGGTGGTGGGGATGGGGACTGTGGTGACGGCTCGAGCGCGAGCGCGAGTGCGAGCGGTGGTCTCCGTGCCTGCTGTGCGAGTGGTGGTCGTGGTGATCGCGCCGGTCCCGCGAGCGCGAGCGCCCGCGCGAATGCGCGCGGTGGCCCCCGTGGACGACCACGGTGTCGCCCGGCATGGCGAGCACGGCCGCGTTCCCGCGGCCGGGCGAGCGCGAGGGGTGACGGTACCCGGCGCTCGGGGAGTAGCCACCGTAGGACGCGGGGCCGCCGGCCATGTACGGGCTGCCGTAGGCGCTGCTCGCGGCGGTCATGGGGACGGCCATGGGGGCGCCGTGTCCGTAGGATCCGACGAGCGGGGCGCCGCCGGCCATGCCGGACATGCTGAGGAACTGCGGGGCGGAGACGGAGTCAGAGTCGGAGCGCGACGCGAACAGAGGCCCCGTTTGCGACGCACCCGATCTGCGAGGTGCGATGCCGTCGCGGCGGCGGACTCGCACGCGGCGCGCTGGCCGTAGACGTCCGCGGCACGCCCGGTGTGCTGCCAAAGCCGCGTTGCTGGTCCAACGGGTCAGTCTGCGGAGGGGGGTGAGGTGAGGAGTCGGGTTTACCTTCGGCGATGGCCATCCCGATCAAACCTTCGCGCTGCAGCATGCGATCGGCACTGAGAGGCGCATAGAGGGAAGAGTTGTACTTCCAGGTGCGGTACACCTCGTAGGCAGCCGCGGCGCCGACATCGGCGGGAAGCAATTGGCGCACAGGAACCTTTGGGACGGCACGTGTGAATGCCTAGACACGACGACAGAATGGCTTGGACTCACGAGACCTCCGTAGACCATTCGATGACGTTCTCTGGCCGTTCGGTGGTCGACGCCCATGCCGGCGAGAGAGGGCAGTCCGCCCATAATCGACTGGTACAAGGTTCTAGAGGGTGGTTGATATGTCAGAGCTTATTTCATCATGATCCAGTATAGAAGCGGGCTCACGAATCAGGATTGACGGCATGCGCATTGTAGAAGTCCATGCCCGTCCCTGGTGGAGATAGTGAGCAAAAAGAGGTAATAATGGCCAAACGACTCACAATTAGGCTGGGGTTGCATAGTAGGCATGGGCGGAGGCCCGAGTTGATATTGGTTTGTGCCCCATCCTGGGGCGGCGGAGCGATAGTATTCGTAGGCAGCCATGATGGCAAGAGAGAGAGAGATCCGGCGCCCCACCCTGGTTCTGGGTATATATCCTGTCTTGTGCGTCGCTAGTACCTGTGGCGTGTCAGCAGGGAGCGGAGAAAGGAGGACGCGCTCGGCGCGATGACACGTGTGGTCCTCGAATGTCCCCGACGAGTCGAGTCGAGTCTTCCACACGGGCGCGTTGGTTGGAGTTCCGGACATGCCGAGCACAGCGTGTGGCCCTATGTGGACTGGATGACGCACCCGCGCCTTGGGCGGTGGTCGCGTGCCAGCCACGTTTCGAAAACGCACTTGAGCGCCGCTTTTCGACCTACGCTGCTATACAAGACACATTTTTGCAGTCGGCAGACAGTGCGCTTCGAAGGCCCCGTTCGTGGTATGTTGAAGAGGGCGCTGCACAGAGACAGTATCACTACACAGTTAGCGAGGAATCCTTGTCGTCATACTTGCAGGTTTCGCGCCACCTCCACCATGCACCCCACTTCCGCGTTCTCCGGAGGCAGTAATGCCTCGGCGCCGTCCTCGCAAATTATCCCAGGCAAGCATTGACGTTGATTGCTCACCACAAGTCAGCGCAAAAATTTCAAGCGTACGACCTCCGTCGCGAGCGGGTCCCGCAGGAGCGTGCGCAGTCGCTGCAGCTGAAACACACGACCGCCCATTAGCTTACAGAAATGACGGAATAATCGGACGGTGCAACGTACCACGCACCATCGGGCTCCTCTGGGCCATTGCGGCACCAGCACGCTCAGAGATGTTGAGACTGTACGCAGGAGAGCTGGTGCGCTGGCTATATGCGCACACAAAATTGGCCCGCTCGGTCCCTTCGAAGGACATGCTCACATTAGGCTCCGCCAGCCGCGAGCACCGTCGACTTTCTAGTCCCCGGGACTGACAACCACCTCGCCTCGGCACCCCGCGCAGCACCGGATAGCGAGATGACTCACAGACACACCCCGGTCCGCTTCTCTGTTGGTACGCTGCCTGCAACACCGGCCAACGCTCGGCTCCCCCGACAGGCGGGCACGGAAGGATCGCCAGTAATACCCTCTTCTGCCGCTTGAACGGTGCGTCTGCAAGGGGCGCGGCCGATTGAGCTCGGAGCGACGGGCGAGTTGCGTGGCCCTCGAGCTAGCGGCGCGAGGTCTTGGGAGTGCGCGTCGTGCGCGGGACGACGACGCAGGGACGGGGATGTGATCGTGCGCAGAGAGAGCACTCTGGCCGGTCTGTAAACTGGACGATTATGGAGAGGGTGGAGGGGACAGTGTGGGAGCAGTGGGACCCAAGCATGTATGATTTCACTGAGTCGCAGGAGCTGACGCGCCTATCGCGACAGACGCGTGAGGCTCGATCGGTCGAGAGTCGAGACCCACCGACCTAACCTCGCTGAGGTACGAGGCAAGAGGATCAGGCCAGAGATCAATCGATCACTCTCGTCACTTAGTTTCCTTTAAGGTGCGTTTAGCGTCATGCCATCGAGACAAACAATAACGGACGACAAAAATACAGTAGTAACAGCATTAACCTCAGGCCGCAAGGTCCGAGCAGTCATGAAAACGTAACGTGATAGTCCGAGTCGAGTCGAAGGTCCCCGGGCGATCGCCCACAAAGCCCAACCGACAGCAGAAAGCTCTCAAGCGCAGTCGAAGTAGTTGCCCGTGATGACCTGCGGGCAGCCCGACGTATCTGACCGAAACCACACATCACGTCAGTCCCGCCCGGGCGCGGAGGAGAGCCGAACTCACCCTTGTTCGTCGGGCAGTCGCGCGGGTCGTCGCAGCACTTGATGCACGCGCGCGGGCCCGCGGGCTCGACGAGCTCGACGTAGTGGTTGTACCCGAGGCAGACGCTGCCCTGCGGGTTGCCGAGCCCGCCCACGCCGCCGGAGGAGTCGTACTGTCCGCCGGCGTCGCTCGGGTTCAGCCGGCTGAGCTTCTCGGGGCGGATGCAGCCCGTCACTGCGCGTGCGCGTGCGCGGTGCGGTCAGCCGCGAGGGTGGGGGAAAGGGAGGAGGGAGGGGGACGTACGCTGGGCGTAGCGCGCGCCGTGGGAGGAGTAGCCGGACTTGAACTCGACGTTCTTCCAGAAGTCGGCCGGGAGCTGGCCCTGGAGGGGCTTGTCGTACCGGCCCTTGGGGGAGCAGTAGGTCTTCATCCCGCCGGGGTGCTCGGAGTCGCCGATGTTCGTGTGCGGGTCGCGCGGCATGATCATGCTGCGCGCGGGGCGGGCTCAAGATCCGGGACGGGAGAGAAAGCGGTGGGGTGGGCGTACCAGTACGATTCGGCGTCGGTGACGTAGACGATGTTGTCCGCAGAGACGGCGCGCTGCTCGAGGCGCGGGGGCGTGGCAAACGCGGAGAGCAGCGAGGCCGAGAGCGCAAAGAACGCGAACGCGCGGAAGAGCATCGTGGGGGTTGTGGGACGGAGGAATAGGAGAGGGTAGGGGAGAGCGAACGACAGGTCGTTGGATGGGTCGGATCGACCCCGCGCATTTTTAAAGAGGAGGCGGGGGCTAAGTCATCTCGCGCGGCTAACGAGGACGCTTGCGGCGGGCACTAGCGCGATCTAGATGAGACCGAGGTGGACAGAGGCGGACAGGCACGACCGCGGGTCCTTGACAGTCTACGCGTTTGAGCTGGGGGCGTGACAAGGCCTCTCGAGGCGTTTCGTCGAGCGGCGGATCGCTCGCCAGCCCTCGTGATCTCTTCCAACGAGGCAAAACGCGATCGTACTTACAGCTGTTATCAGAACGATAGGCCGGTTTGAAAAAGTTTACACACAGAGTAAATCGAGCGGAGTCGCAATTTTTGACAGTTGCGAGGCTTACTGGTG